TTTTTTTTTTTTATTCTGAGATTTATTTACCTTCTATAATTGAAACATTGTTGCCATCACTGGTGCTCCCAGCTCTGAGGCCGCGGCTGGCTGAAAGCAGGTATCTGGGGTTTGTTTAGCTTCTATAATTGAAACATTGTTGCTTTTGGGCTCAGAGCCAGGCCGCGGCAGGCGGGGAACCTTGGCTTCCTCCATCACTGGAGCAAGCAAGCCTCATGTTCGCTTCAGCTGCGTGGCTGCCGGCCACCATCTTTGTTGGCAGTTAATTGGCATATCGCCCTGATTAGCCAATGGAAAGTGTAGCGGAGGTACGGTTAATTACCCTTTTTGTCTTTTATTAGATAGGATTTTTAAAATCCCCACCTGAGGATATGTTCCCATTGATTTTAGAGAGATAGGAGGAAGAGGGAGAGAGAAACATCAATCAGTTGCTTCCTGTATGTGCCTGGATGAGGAAACTAACCCAACATCTAGGTATGTGTCCTGAACAGGAATCAAACCCACAACCTTTTGGTGTATGGGATGACACTCCAACCAACTGAACCACCCAGCCAAGGCTGTTTTGCAAGGCTTTTAATGTAAGTTAGTTGTTGTTAACTTATATTCTATCATGTTGCACATAAATTTTAGTGGAGAAACAATGGCTTTCTTCATTTAATTACCTAAAATTGATTTTATTTATCTTTCTATGAATATTTTTCTAGCTTCATCTAGAAACCTGAACTCTTCACAACTTCGTAGAAGGTAATATATGTGGTTTTTTTGTGTGTGTGTTTGTATTTTTTCCCCTAGGTACCTGTTCTGAAGGGATGGAGTATTGAACTTTCTTATAACATAGTTGATGGTCTGGTCTGAGGGCCAGCATTGTGCCTAGCTGAAGAATATGCTGATCTGAATGCTGTGGGGTGAGGGATCCTGAATGACCCTGTCCCTTCATCCCCAAAGCAGTTGAATTCCATTTGAAAATTATGGAGCTTGCTCTATCAGGCACTGTTCTAGGCTCTTCAGGGAACACAAAGATGAGCAAGATGAGCAAGACTATGAGAGAGCCCCAAGGGAGCTCAGTTTTATGGGGGCTCACAGACATGGGCACAGCTGTCATATCAAGTGTGCCAGGAGTCTAGAGGAGGGAGCTGTTAGCACCAAGGCTCAGAGAAGGCTTCACAGGGGATGTATCAAGGGAACTGGGTCTTAAAGGAAGAGGAGTATTATAATAAAACTAGAGGCCCAGTGCACAAGATTTGTGCACTGGAGGGGGATCCCTCAGCCCGGCCTGTGCCCTCTTGCAGTCTGGGACCCCTCACTCCTTACTGCCCACCTACTTGCTGCTCCTTAGTGCTGCCAGAGGCAGGAGAGGCTCCCACCACCACTGTTGCGCTCGCCAGCCGTTGAGCCCGGCTCCTGGCTGAGCGGCGCTCCCCCTAGTGGAGTTCACTGACCACCAGGGGGCAGCTCCTGCATTGAACGTCTGCCCCTTCGTGGTCAGTGCACATCATAGCAACCGGTTGTTCAGCTTTCAATTTGCATATTAGCCTTTTATTATATAGGATAGTCAAAATATTTATAGATTCTGAAGATAAACACTAGAGTAAGGAGTATTGCCATAGACAAAGAATGTTGTGTAGGGCATGCCAGACCACAGAGACATGTGAGGAAAGACAAAGAAATGCAATTGTGTTTAATGTTTTCTTTCTGAATTGTAATGTAAGGACTGATTGGATTGAAAAGGTGAGTCAGTTTGAAAAAGAGGGCTTTCAAAGTTACACAAAGGCATTTAAGTCATTTCTTCATGCAGTGAGAGATCTCCGAAGGGTCTCAGAGTTGAGTGAATCACATCTGTTATAGAATGATCTACCTGGTTGTAATGAAAGCTATGAATTGAAGACAGGAGAGTTTTGTGACAGAGATTGAGTTAGGAGGCTTTTATAGTATCTAGATGAATGGTGATGGGGACTTTAGGGGGTGATAGCTGGGTGAAACTAGGAGATATATATAGACAAAGGATCCAGAAAAGATGGGATATGACTGCTGGTGCTGGAATCTACCATCTATCGCCTCAGTGAAGTAGGAGGTGAAATCATCCTAGCTGATCACAGGAGTGTATGGAGAATAGTAGTGTTAGGTGCCAAACCCAGTGAGTGTGAGGGAGTGACTGGCTATTGTGAATTATCACTACAGGCATTAAAAAGAAAAAAGGAGGGAGGAGAAAGCATAAAATGATAGCAACATAAAATGATAGCAATTCCATTAGAACTATCATTATAAAGGAGAAGGGTGATTGACTTAAAGTTATAGAATAGAGGAAGATGAAAGAACATAGAATATTTACCATGTTTAGATTCCTCCCCATTTGAGTTAATACTTTGGATACTTAGCCCTATTAAAATTCATATGTTTGTATGATTACCTAGTTCTTTCTTTTTTAAAATATATTTTATTGATTTTTACAGAGAAGAAGGGAAAGGGATAGAGAGTTAGAAACATCGATGAGAGAGAAACATCGATCAGCTGTCTCCTGCACACTCTCTACTGGGTATGTGCCTGCAACCAAGGTACATGCCCTTGACCGGAATCAAACCTGGGACCCTTGAGTCCGCAGGCTGACGCTCTATCCACCAGAGCCAAACCAGTTAGGACCCTAGTTCCTTCTTTAAAAAAAAATAGAGTCAGGTCTTGAGGATAAATATTACACTGGGAAATCCTCTTTCAAATTAGCACAAAAAGCCTTATAGTGTTTACAAGCTGAAGTTCAAACTCCTGAGAAATTAAGAGAGCCTTCAAACTTGCCTCCTCACCAGTCTCTTTCTTTCTTACCTTCAGCATCTTTCCCTTGTGCACATGTAGCTTATCCACATCTAACTCTAGTAGTTTCCAACAAGCCAAGTGTTAGGTAAGAAACATTACACATTGTGGTGTTTCAGACAACCAGATTTGGGACTGAAATAAATGTCTCTTTAAATTTCACATTCGACTGCCTTTCAGATCTGCTTTAAAATCCTCCCTCTTCTTCATCTAGTTAAATGATCTTTATTTGGCTGTGAAATTCAAATCTTGGGCTTGAGTACTTCACAGAAAAGGCAGGCAACACCAACAGAGGAGAGAGATAAATGCAGAGTTTTGCACAAGCAAGCTTCATTCCCATAAAAATTTTGCCCCACCACATAGCTCATGTTAAAAATGATGAAATTACTGACATCTGTTACAGGTGAGCTGTAACAGGTATACCTAGTCACCTCTCAGCAAACGCCTACCAGTCATGGACACATTATGTCAATATATGGGAAAAATGTGAGCTTCCATTTTGGAAGATACTTGTAGATTGCAGGGCTTAATTTTTACTTTAAAAGATGAACAAACAGAGTCAACTTCTATATTTAATCCTTATAATTAGAGTGATTATATGGCAACAAAATCTGTGAGAAAAGTTTATAGTTGATCTCCTCGGGAGTGTGTGTAACTGAGAAAGAAGGAAGGGTCTGTTGAATTTGCTGATTATTTGATTTTCAAAAAAAAATTTTTTTTAAATTTCTAGCTTGCTCAACTTGAATGCTATCTTAGTTATTTTTTATAACTTACTTTCCATATTTATTCTTGTCTGAAGTCTCACCCTGGGGGATAGGCATTTATATTTGATATTATTTATTTATTATCTCTCATAAAACTTAGAAGAACACAACTACATCTATAATCATTCCATTTTCTGCCCTGTGGAGCATGAGGTATAAAATAAATATAACAGTCTCTGACCAAAATGTTCATTGTCTTTTTAGTTGAGAATTGGATTTTATTTTTTTTTCTCCACATACGTATTGAAACTCATGAATTAATTTCAAATACTTAAAAATTTTCTCACACATATAATACATACTGTTTACCTAATAACATAATATAGGAGAAAATCAGGTAATCTTTGAATTAGGTTTAACATGTTATATACATCTTGTGAATGTTTAATTCTTTGAGCCTCATATTTTTGGAATAAGACCACCCGCAAAGTAATGTGCTAGCACAACTTTATGTAATATGTTGTGGAAAATGTAACACGTGAAGTTCTTACCAAACTTTCCTTTTTTATTCTGTGTGTATGTGTGTGTGTGTGTGTGTGTCCAGTTAATACTTCACTGCCTGTACTGGTGGATACAAAGACTGTGCTCTCTTGCCCTCCTATCCTGTTGACAAATGTGGTCATAACAATATGGGAAATAATCCTTGGAGACAAGTCTCCCTGCATCAGAACCCACAGGACAGATAAAGATGAAGTCACAGACACAAACTGCACTGACAAGAGAATGACCTGGCTCTACAGACCTGACCAGATTCCTGCCCTTCAGATTGACCCAGTGGCCATCACTCATGAAGGGTATTACAGGTGTACAGTGGCAGGACCTTTTGGGAATTTCCATCATGGATATCAACTCCGAGTGTTAGGTAAGGAACATTATACATTGTGGTGTTTCAGAAAACCAGATTTGGGACTTAAAGGAATAGCTCTCTAAATTCCATGTCTAACATGTTAAGACTAAAACATTTTCTTCTTCATCTCTGCAGTGGCCCCTGAGGTGACCCTGTTTCAAAGTGAGAATAGAACTGCGGTGTGCAAGGCAGTTGCCGGGAGGCCAGCTGCCCGGATCTCCTGGACCCCAGAGGGAGATTGTGTCCCTGCGTATGAATATTGGGGCAATGGCACAGTGACTGTCCAGAGCACGTGCCACTGGGCAGATGGCAATGTGTCTATTGTGTCCTGCTCTGTCTTCCATGAGACTGGCAACTGGAGTCGGTCCATAGAGCTGAATCCAGGTAAGTAATTCTAGTTTTGTGTTTGATTTTCCATTCTTTCAGAGGAGTTGTGGTAAGAAGGAAAAGGAGTTTGTAGAGAATTTCTCTGAAGGACGTTCTCTCCACCTTCTGTGTTATCGCCTCTTACACCAAGTGAGCGGGATAGCTAAAAGAATAATACAGAAATTTGTTGTAAGAAGCCATATTTTAAAAGAATGAGGTATATTCTTTAATAATTAAAATAAAAAAGAATTTAATGTTCACTTCTATCTAGTAGTAAATTGGCTTGAGTAGTGTACTTTTAAATGAATATCTATGGTTATAGTAGAGGGGTAAATTATAATCTTAAACAAAAGCTTATACTTTTACTAGAAAGATAAAGTCACCCATAACTTTTCTTCACAAAATTTTAGTGTGGTAGAATTTTTTCCTCTAGGCTCTTTCTAGAATTTCTTAATTATTTCTTAATTATATTATTGCAACATTTAGGACTATCCACCTTTCCCTCTCCATCCTCACTCAATTACGTAGAAGCAAATACATTCAAATCTTTAGGTGTTTTGTTTTTGTGGCAATTAACTTCATTTTTCTAAATAATATGTCCCTACTGATATTTCTTAAAATATCAGATTTAGACATTATGTGACCACTTCCTTTTATGGTTAATGAGGATTTTACTTTACCTTCCTTCCTCGTCTTTTATAACATTAATATATTGCAATTTTGGTTAAATTAAATAGCCATAGTTTACATTATTTTGAATATGTAACTTTGTTAAGTGCTAAATCAAGAAATAAGCTCATACTTTCTTTTTTTTTTTTGATTTATTAGTCCATCAGTCCCATTTTTTCTTGCGATATCCCTTCTTGAGGCTTTACATGCTCTTGTTCTAATTGGGCCTGATTGGCTGCTAGACCCGCTGCACAGCTATTCTCCTGGACATTCTCTTTCCCTGGATCCTCAACTGGG